TAAAACTTTAAATTTATAAATTTTTATTGCACAATATTTTTAAAGGTCAATATTCAAAGAATAAATCTGTATTGCAAATTTTAATTTTCTATACAAAATTTGATTCATTAGTGGAAATATTTAGGAAATCAGGTCAGATTCCTCTTGTCTCATTTTCTGGTAAATCCAGATGTTTTCTATGCAGGCAAACAGTAGATATATATTTTTTAAATCCTACCCAAGAAGTGAAGATATTTTTTCCATTGATTTTTGGAGAGAGAGTGGAGGGGAGGGGGGAAAGAGAGAGAGAGAGAGAGAGATCAGCATGATAAAGACACATCAATTGGTTGCCCGCTCATGCCCCAATGGGAGGCTGAGGGTCAGGGATCGAACCTACAACCCAGGTAGGTGCCCTTAACTGGGAATCAGGCCAATACTCTAGCCACTGAGAAAAACTGACCAGGGCAAAACAGTAGTTATTTAAAATTTTCAATTGCTTTCAAGTGGCACAATTATATTAAAAGGTAAGGACTTACATACTTTTTTAAGTCATTAATTCCTTACTGTACTTTGTCCTATATACTTGCTGTTGTTGCTTGCTGAACTAATTTTCAAAAATAAATGTTTTCAATCATTATAGGGATTTTAAGTTAAATATATCAACTCCAGAAATATTGCTAATCTAGAACAGGTAAGGTTCTCCATATTCAAGGTTCACAACCTTCCAGTGAACCATGACAATAGCATGAAGTATCTCGAGATTTTTCTAATTCTCTGTTCTAGTTTTAAATTCATTCATTGTTTAATTAATGTTCTTTCACCATGTATTGTGTGTTAAGCTCTAAGGATGCAACAATAGGCCCTAAGGATGCAACAATGAACCAAACAAAACCCCTGCTCTAGTTTATGTCTAGTTCATAAAAGAGCTTTCCAATGATGACTCTGGTTAACTGAACCATTATATAGAATGGTAACAATTTGGTACCTGGCACCTTAACCCCATGCCTTTGCTGACATCCTTCCTTTTGTTGTAATACAAGGGGTTGTCTTTCATACCGAGTGCCAAAGTTTCATCTTCTACAGTATTTAGTATACTGGCCTTCTGAGTGATTTCATTTATCTAGTTACTAGAGGTCCTATGCATGAAATTCGTGCAAGAGTAGGCCTTCCTTCCCCTGGCTGCCGGCACTGGCTTCCCTCTGGCACCTGAGACCCGGGCTTCTCTCGCAGCCCCGGCTTCATCTGGAAGGTTGTCCAGAAGGACATCCAGTCTAATTAGCATATTATGCTTTTATTATTATAGATTAGTGCATATTTTCTGATATCTACTCCACTGGGTACACTGATGAAACAGAGTTGTGAATCCCCAGGCACAGCTAACCTTGGAGCAGGTGGGTCTCCCCTCTAAAGGGAAGAGTAAGTGCAAAGGCACAGGGTTAAGAAACCCTTCTATAATTAGATAGTAATAAGTGAAGACAAGAGCAAGGGGGCTGTTTTAAAGCAGACAGCAATATGAAATAATTTACATGAAAAGTGTTTCCTCTGCATGCCAGGTGAAGACAGATTGGAGGGTAGCCAGAAGTGGAAATTTGAGAATTACTTAGGGTCTATTCCAGTAGTGAGAGACGAGAGGAGCTTCAAACAGGGCACTGTGAGGGTGGATATCAAGAGATGGATTTGAGATCTACTTGGAAGCAGCACTTAGCAGTAGATAAATTGTGAAGGTTGAAAGGACATGAATTATTAAGGTTTTCTTCCAGCTTTCTAGCAACTGAGTGTATATATATGCTGCTGCTTTGATGGGAGGGCAGGTCTGGTGGGAAGTTGAGAGTTTAGTCACGAACACTAGGTCCTTCAGAAGGGAACTCCATGCAGGAAGTGGACATGTGGATCCAGACCTCAGAAGAGAGGTGTGGGAGGAGTTATAAATGTGGTTGTCACATGAGTGAATGAGAGTCCCAGATGTAACTATTTGCAACATACAGTATTTAACAAAGGCATAGTCTCTAAGATGTATCCCAGGAGAGCCAGTCAGTCATTTATTTATCCAGGTGTTAGGGACAAGGACTGGGTGGGTGGCCTCTCAGGGGCCTTTGGCCCTGTGGCCCTGTGATTCTACAGGGACTAGGAAGGTTCCTGACCAAAACCCAAATTCCAAGTCCTCTGTCTACCTCTTCACTCAACAGGTGGAAATGTGCACCAAAGTGTGTGCTTCTCCTTGCCCTAGATGCTAAAGACGAAAAAATAAATAAGAAAAGTGATTCTTTTAGAAGGTGGCTGTCTATTCCAGAAGACAAGTACCATAAACAAATCACCATTGTAGAGTGAGAGGGGTGGGGCAGAGGCATAGCACTTTCAAAGGGAGAGGGACAGATTTTGCCTTGGGGTGGGATGGGTTAATTCTGGAACCTGGTGACTTAGTCACATGTTGCCATTCAGTTGTCTTTTTTGCTTTTTTTATGTTAGTTTTGTTTAATCGTTGCAACCATCCATCTTCCTAACTAGGGATTACCTTTGTTTGACTGTATAGAACTTATAAAGCTCTTTTCAAATGTCTATATTTTGATGACATCTGCTAAGAATTAGCTAGTGTTTTATATGGTATCTCCAATGCTTTTAAATAGTACAGCTCAAAAATGTCTCACAAAATGAGTACACTCATGTATTTAGCACCCAGATCAAGAAATAGGATTCTCCCAGCACCCTAGAAATCACAGACCCTTGCCAATGTATGCTCTCCTCTACTTTCTTCAGACCTTAGAGGAGTTGTCTCCATATACTGTTGGACTTACTGTTACATTTTGTGTGTAAGTGTGTGTGGAGCCCATGATGAATCTATTTTAAATGATGCATTTACCTTGTGAGGAAAGCAATATCTTTTAAGACTAAAGCTCTGTGTGTACACACCCTAACAAAGGATTCTGGCCCCATTTGGTTTTTTTCCTTTTCTCACCTGCTCTTTTCTCTTGGATGTTAAGAAAGCCTTCTAAATATTGTTAGGTGTGATCAAATCATCGAATCAATACCTATTTCCCTGGGAAACTGACCTTTAGACCACTTCACAGCCAACATTTCCTTTTGCTTAGACCACATTCCATTTGCTAAGACCAGGACTTACCCAGGATCCAGAACTTCCCAGAGAATTCCCCTCTGAAAAAGCCCACCTAGAGTCCTTTAAAATATCTGACCCCCATCCCTGGGTGCTGGCACCATTTGGGAGCTCAGCCCATCTGGTTTCCAAATGACCTAGTAAATTTATAATTCTTTACCACTTTTGGCCTCGTGCGTTCCTCCTTCAGCAACCCTAACAAATATGAGCATCCTGTCACCAGGTAAGCAGCACCTTTCTCTTTCTGAGATATTCAGCCAGTTTTTGTAACAACAATGAATAAAACTCTTGGCAAGGCTTCTTTGCTGCTACATTTAAGAAGAGCTGAAAGACTGAAAGTAAATCAAAATCAGTGCTAACACAGGAAGTCCTAGAGGGAAAAAGCCAAACAATTTGGTAATTTACATTACCACTAACCTAGCAACCAAGGAGCTCACACAAGAGAGTGGAAACCCCAAGGAAAAGGAAAGGTGCTTCTCTTCCCATCACTCCTCCCCAAACCCTGCTCCCTGCCCACGGTGGGCTTTCTGAGCAGAGCCCTTCCACATTCTCAATTGCAACCCTGGGGAGATTGTGCTGTGACAGGGTCAACAATGATATTGAAATAGATCAAACTCTGAAATGAAGATAATACCTCATGCTACATTGTGCTTACATGATACTTTTCTAAACTTGCTATGAGCTTATTTAATCCTCTCAACAATCTGATGGTGTCAATATCCTCATTTTACAGGTGACAAAACTGAGAAACAGAGATCTTATGCAAGTTGTCAAAGGTCACAAAGAGCCAGGGTTCAAGCTAGACAGTCTTTCTCCAGAGTCTGTGCTCTCAGCCATCATACTGCACTCATTATAGTGGAGGTGTTGTGGGCAGCGGGAATGGCACCAGCAGTTAGACCAGTGGTGTCAGACCAGACCTGAGTTCAGCAACCTTGGTACTTGAGTTCTGGCTATGAAAGAATTCAGAGCCAAGACTCAAACTATAAGAGAACATTTATATGGAGAATAACAGAGGTAGAAGAAGTAATTTGTAGAAGAAATGGGCTTAGGAAACAAGTGATAGAGGTAAAGGAAGGTCCCTTGGAGCTTAAGAGTGAGGAAGGTAATGGTAAGGCACCTGGGGGGGATGAGGCAGGGTGGGGGAAGGGAAACGCCCAGGGTGCTCCCAGGAGGGAGAGGGCACTGGGTTCTTTGGCCTAAGGTGTTTTAAGGGGTCAGGTCCCAGGGGAAGATCTCAATAGAATATCCACAGCTTTCCAGGTATGCTCTTTTAGGGTCGGGGTCTCCATGGATTGATTGGTCAGTGCTAGGGCAGGGGGTCATTATTGAATTCAGCTGGTCCTGAGGTCAGCCTTGTTGCTTATCTGGTTTTTCTGCTTTTCTGGCCCTGGAGCTGAGATACAACTGAGGCCTATTAGTAGATGCTATCCTAGGGAGGAAAGGTCAGGGGGTCCAAACCACGTGACCAGCGACATGCTAGGGGAAAAAAGGTCACCCTGGGGGTGAGGTCTCACCCTACAATTTTCCTTTGCTAGGTACCCAGGGCTTTTGGCCCTGGTGAATTTCTATAACTGGCCCATCGTGTAGGGAGCGGCTATAGGGTTAAGCCTCGGACTGACCTGTTGGCAAAGCCACAAACAAGTCCCAGCTTAGAGGGCACAGTCCTCTTAGCATAATTATGTTTGACCTTATGATGCTCCCTAGATCTTATCTGGGTAGCTAATGGGCTGAGGGAATGTAGCAAGTGCTGCCAAAACAAGTGAAACTCACAAGAACGTTGTAACCTCTGGCTATAAAATAAAGGCTCAACTTGTCTGGATCTCTCTCTGTGGCCTTAGCCAGGCACAGGAGATCCACCTAGACCCAGCTTATTCTCTTTGTCTTTTCTACATCCTTTGCCACCCCCCCTCAGGCTCACCGGACCCTTGGCTGTGCTGGCACAGCACACATCGCCCTTGCTGTGCTCATGTGTGTCTAACTGCCTACAACAGAGGGATGGGGATGTATTCAAGACAACCTCTGGGTAAGATTTACTCCTTGTCTTGAAGACCACTGCTCAGGTTGGTATATAAAGGTTCCTGTGTACCAATGTATTAATGTACATGGTAGTGGCTGAGGATGGCCAAGTCTTTGTAGTCTGGGAGCCCTTTAATGGAAGAAAATGATAGGATGAGCTCAGCTGCAGAGGACTCTCAACATAAGGATCAGGTCCTATTTAGAACGGTAGACTCAAAGGGCAAAAAGAGATGGGTATTGGCATATCAATCATGGAATCCACATTCCTCATGAGGGAAAAAGAAGAATGTGAGCCCAATGTTCTGTAAATTCCTTCAAACCCTAGCATCCTGCATTCTTCATGTGTGGTCATAGTTCTATTTATGAATAGGACTCACTTGCTACATGTTGGTCATCAAGCTGGCAAAACTTTTCCAGGCTTGCAAAACAAGATATTTGGCACAATTTGGGTAATTCCTGTGACTGCAGTTCATTGTGCTAAGTAAAAATATTATGTAGAACTGGGGGTATAACCCTAAAAAAAAAAAAAAAAAGAGAAAAGCCATAAAGTGTTTTAGTTAGCAAGGACACTACACTCCTCAAATATGCAGAAGCCCTAATATTTATAAGATGGTTCATATTTATGGAAAGAAGTGCGAGAGCTTGACCCTTGAGTTCTTTGGAAAAGTATTTGCCTTAACCCACTCATGGCATAGACATTTTCTAGCTCAGATAATTATGGGCTATTATCAAAGATTACTCAAAGGTTATTATTGAATACAGCTCTATCTCTTTGACAACCAAACATGTTGCCTGGAAACAATTTCCTTGTTGACTTCATATCTCGTCTTTTCATTGTTTTTATAACTTCAGCAAAGCTTCCCAATTCTGTTCCTCCTACACAGAATAAAGTCCTTTTATGTTCTTGAATTATCAGGCAGCAGATATGGTAACAGATTCATCAGGCTTAATTATAAGCTAGGAAGTTGACATTCACTGCCATTACTGCATTTCAACTTTGGTTTGAATTTGAAGCATTATGGGACAAATTCCCATTGACTTTTAAAAATACTACCTGTGAGGCCTGTGGCAGAGAATGCATTTATACTGGGGGAAAGCAATGGTGACATTTCATGTTCAGGTTCAGGTTCAGGTTCAGGTTCATGTGCTTACTGTAAGGAGTTTGGCCAGAAATGAATTTGTCTGAAGAGCAGGAAGAGTATGGTACTTTAAATTTTTAACACAAAGCAACAAGGCATGTTTTATATTTCTAGCAGTTGTTTACATAAAAACATTGAAACCTGTAAAGAATTTTTGTGAGTTTATTTGAGCCAAACTGTCAACAATTGCCAGGAATCGAACCTCAACAGATTGGGATAATGCTCCAGAGAATGGCAGTTTCTTATCTCTTTTTATACATTGCAATCAAAGGAGGGGACATAGTGAGTTACATGAAATCCATTGGTGATAGATTAGAGAGGTGGGAGAAAGCAAAGCAGGGGGGTGGCGGGAGCACCCCTGGGATTGGATAAAAAGTAAAATGATAGACACATACGAAGTTGAGGGCAGGATAGTCAACAGTCAACAATTAACATGATAACAATAACAATGAAGGGCCCCTTGGGAAGTTACAAGTTATCCAGACATTTCAAGGATATGTTATCACTAGAGGCCCAGTGCACAAAATTCATGCACAGGTAGGGTCCCCAGTGGTTGATGGCTGCTGGCCGGGGCCTCCCTTCATTCCGTGCCACCCCCTGGTGGTCAGCACATGTCATGGTCAGTGATCAAACTCTCGGTCAGTCAAACTCCCAAGGGGACACTTTGCATATTAGGCTTTTATATAGATAGATAGATGCAAAAAGGCAGATAGGCTTAGTTAAGGTAAAGGTTGACCTTCTCAGTGAAGATACCAGCCTAGGATGTAACTACCCACCATAACTGCTTTTAGTTAAAGTTTAATTTCAGACCATCCTTTTGTGGTTACTTTAGGTCTGTAAGACTGCCATGCAGGCCTTCCCTGATCTTGTCAGGTTAGCATGTGGCCCCTTTCGTCCCCACAGTAAAAATGTTAGAAGATTCTTAACTAGTTGCAGTGCAAATTTGGAGGACACTGAGCACCTACTGTACCTGAAACCACGTTGGTCTGAGCCAGGTAGAAGTGCTGATCATCTGCAGCGGCTCCTGAGGATACCAACTCTGCCACCTCCAGAGACTCTTCAATTCCTGGCCAATGCCTGAAACTTCATGGTTAACCTACATCTAAGACTTAAAACTTTGTCTTCTTTAAAATAATCATGCTTACTCAGAATAATAGTCCTTAGTTATCATTTATATCTTAGTGAAGATCAGTCATTTGATCTTTGTAGGACTGAGGATCTGAGAACAAGACATGAGTGGAAGAAAGATCTTGAGATCTCTGGGCTCTGTGGAAATGACAAACAATGAGCCCTTAACACAGACTTTGAAAAAACACTGGCCTGAGGCTGGCCCTGGCTATGATATTCTGGTTTGGTGACCTCCATAAATACCTGAATGCACAGACATCAGACAAGTACAGATTTATTTTCATTCTTCCTTCTATATCACCAACACTCCCATCCTCACTAACCACACAGTTGTGAAGAATTATAGATTTTCCCCCCAAATTCATTTCTGTTTATGCACATAACGAATCAAAAGACATTGAACAAAACTGATAAAACTGAAAGGAGAAACAGATAAACCCGCTATGATAATTAGAGGTTTGAACATGTATCACTCATTAAGTGATAGAACAAGTAGACAGAAGATCAGTGAGTATAGAATAGCACACCACTATAAATCAGACCAATCTAATTGACCTTTGCAGGACATTCACCCAACAAAAGAATACACATTCTCTTCAAGATACACATTCTTTTATGGCCCCAAAATAGGTCATATTTGGGGCCATACAACAAATCTCAATATATTTAAAATGACATAATCATATAAAGTTTTTTCTTCTGACTTCAATAGAATTAAATTAAAAAGATATCTGAAAAAAATCTCCAAATATTTAGAAAGTAAAAAATGCACTTGAAAGTAACCCACGAGCTCTAGTAAAAATAAAAAGAGAAATAAAGAAGTATGTTGAACTGGGTTTTATTTATTTATTTTGAATTTTATTTTTAAAATAAAAAATAACATTAAAATGTGTGGTGTGCAATGAAAGTAGTGCTTAGATAGAAATTAAAAATAGAAAAAAAAAGTCTCAATTTGATGACCTGAGCTTCCATCCCAAGAAACAAGAAGAGGAAGAGAAAAATGAGCCCAAATTAAGCAAAGAAAATAAATATGCTGAAATCAATCAAATAAAAAACAGAATAAATAGAGAAAATTAAAAGCCAAGAGCTAGTTTTCTGAGATATAAATAAAATTGATAAACCTCTAGCCAGACTGATCAGAACAAAAAGAAAATATGCAAATTCAAATATCAAGAATGAAACAGAAGATATCACAATAAACTCTACAGATAATAAGAAAATACAAAAAAACTTTAAAACATTCAACAACTTTGATGAGATAAATGTATTTATTGAAATATAAAACTAGCGAAGCTCATCAAGAATAACTTATAACCTGACTATTCTATACCAATCACAGGACTTGAATTTGTAGTTAAACACCTTCCCACTGAGAAAACTCCAGGTCCAGATAGCTTTCATTGTTGAAGTCTATCAAATATTTAAGGAAGAAATAATACTAATTCTATACAAGCTCTTTCAGACAGCAGAACTAGATAAAGACTAGATAAAGACTGTTACTATTTTTGTTTTTTTGCTTATACTAAAGCAGAACCATTCATGCCTTTTCCCCTTTCTAGAATGCTGATATCTACCATCTGTACCTGTTGAAGTACCACTTAGCCTTCAAGTCCTCTATCAAATATGCCTCCTCCACTTGAATAAAGAGATATTTTCTTTTTCTCAGTAGCCCTAGCTCTCACAGTGCAAACGCTGAGTCCTGCTCGACCCTCTGAGATATCCTGGAATCCGAATTGTTAGAGATACTCAAGCAGCAGGAAGGGGCATCCTTTCGTAAAGCGATATTTTCATTTGTATCCTTGGCCTTCTATTGCTCTTTGCTCACACCTCCTTTAACAGTTACCAGATACTTCTTTGAATGATCACTGGTGTCCCCATTTTAAAGCTGCTAAGAGATGATAAACTCTTTGAGGGCAAAACCCACTTCTTTATTTTTGTAGCTTCTTCAGATCCTAATAATTTAAAAAATATATAAAACAGACCATGAAAAGTGTGGAGAGTGGCTACAGCATTCGGACAGGTTCAAGCCTTGGACTGACTTGTGGCAAAGCCATATACAAGTCCCAGCTTAGAGGGCAAAGCCCTCCCAGCACAATTATAGCCAAAAGGCTATGGTTGTAAGCTTGACCTTATAGT